ATATTAAACCTACCCCATTGCAAATGAGGTATTTACGAAGTCAAACTCTGGAACAAAGGTTTTGTAGTTATACTGAAAGTAAACATGGGATAACAGAATTACATTTAACAATAGGTTCCAGTACACCCGCAACCCTTGTGAGGATGAAGCGGATCAGAAAATAGAAGGTTGGAGGATGTTTTGCCATTCACAGCCTTGGTCTCCATAGGGATCCTCTCTTTTGAGTGAATTTGGAAACTTTTTTTTGCTGACTTCACAGCTCGGACCTCCCGGCCCAAAGGGCTTTCAGGAATTCCATTCTGACCTTATTTGAGACATGTTACAATCATGGTCAACATCTAAATACAGGCAACCTTTTGTTTTTGGGCTTCTATTTTTATATCCAGAGATGAAAGTGGACTTTCCTGAAAATTCCGGGAAAAAAATATATATATATATATATATATATATATATAAATATAAATTTAAAATAACAACATATAGAATGAATAAAATAGTCACCTTTTTGTCAGGATTTTTTGAGCACATTAATCTGTTCCATCATATCATATTTAACAAAAAAAACCCCCGAATAATTCAATAGCGTGTAAATTCATGTGAAAAAAATGGTGCAGGTCAAAGAAGCTGCAACCATTTGTAATTGTCGTTTTATTATCATTGGTCGGCCGTTGCCGTGGAAACTGCACCGTGCATTATCGATGTCTAGCATTATTTAAGAAAAAAAGCTGCACAATATCTCACACAGCTTCCACCCTTGAACACAACATGTGCTTTTTATACCAACGCAATGAGTTCATCTGTTTTTGGGCTTTATTTGAAACTACACAATATAAAAACACAAACAATGGAGCAAACACCCTACGCCCTTTCTCCATTTCATCATATTTACCCGGAAGACATCGTAAAATAAACAAAGCAGCTCAGACGAAATGCAAAACTTAGTGGTGGGATGGGGGGGATGTGAAATTTGAAAGGCTCGCAATGAGGAAAAATTTGGAAATATAAATAAAATAAAGCACCACCCCCACCCGGCTTGAATTACTCATCCACACAGCTTCCTGAAACAGCAATGAATCACTGCAAGCACACATGAGCACGTATGCGCGCGCACACACACACACACACACACACACTTGCCAGTACAAGTTTACACATATGTACCCGCTCGCAGTGTAATGGCGGTGAAAAGTGGCTTATCTGGACATTGCTGTTGAGCGGACTAGTCAAAATGTCCCCACAGGCACTAATGTCATTAAAGGTTGTGCCACCCCAAGAGAACAACAAGAGCTCACAACACCATGCACACACACACACACACACACACACACACACACACACACACACACACACACACACACACACACACACACACACACACACAGTCAAATGCGGTAAGGAGCTCATCCTGGCATTTTCATTGACAAAATGTCCCCACAATCATGACTGCATGCCAAGGCTGGTGCCACACAAGGACGGAAAGACATGAACACACACACACACACACACACACACACACACACACACAAAAAAATGGTAAATTATTTGATCATGTGTTTTTTTGTGGCCAAAATGTTGCAACAGAGACAACTGTCCCCACTATAAAGGTTGTCCCACACATCAATAGGAAGACAAGGACACACCCGCTCGCACTCCGTCAGAAATCCGTGTCGCCCCAGTTAAGCCCCTCAAGCATTTTATTTGATATTCTAACATACATTAAGAAATTGTTTTACTCAGACCCTTATTTTAGCCCCGGGAAGCAAAAGAAATAAATAAATACAAATCCTGGAGCCGTCTCTGCGACACACACCTCCTCCTCTCTCTGCGCTCATTCTCGCACAGACAAATTCCACCTCATGTCCCATCGCCTCTCGTGGCCAATCCAATTAGCCGGCGAGCATCTCTCTCGTATGTTTCAGCGAGTCGTAACTCACAAGGACCCTCCTGCGCGGAGCGGGCGGCGCAAACACAACGACACCACAGAAGAAGAGCAAAAAAAAAAAAAGATTAGCATGACGAAGAGGAAGAAGAGGAGGAAGAAGGTGACGGGCTGCAAAGAAATGAGGAAGCCAACATGGCAGATTGAAGCATGTAGGAAGGAGGGGAAAGTGTCACGTGACATATCGCAAATTAAGGGGAGGGGGGCATGTGACTCATATATTTTCAATCCAAATCGTGGGGGGAGACAAGAGCTCGTTTGGGTGTGTGTGTGTGTGTGTGTGTGTGTGTGTGTGTGTGTTGATTGACTCAAAGACAGAGTATAACATGGACTATCTGGGAAGCGCATTTAATAGGCAATCCATCCACAGTCATTGCACAAAAAGCCCCAGTCCGTCGGGTGCTGTCTCAGATGAAGCTGGTAATGCAAATGAACGCGTTAATCGTGCAGCGTGCAGTGTATCCACTCACCCGAACCCATTGTTACCCCTCACTTACACACACACACACACACACACACACACACACACACACACACACACACGCGCGCGCGGTGCACATCATTGACTCCCATTCAAAAAGCTCATCGAAAGTCCTTCAACGTTGTGCCCCCCCACCCCCACCCCCGCAGACAAGGCAAGTAAAGGCGCGTCAAAGGGGGGGAAAGAAATGTCAAGACGGACTTACCGATGCATAGGAAGCCATGCCTTCTCCCCGAGGGGTGTGTGTGGGGGGGGGGGGCGTCCTCTTTCCTCCCCCAAATATGCACGCCGAGGGTGCTGTCCGGTGCGTCAGTCGGTCCTTTCTTCTTATGCTGCTGCCGCACGACCTGTCTGCTGCTGCCGCTGTGAGGAAGATGAGGAGGATGAAGAGGAGGAGGAAGGGGGTGGCGAAGGGAGGCGGCGGCGGTGGTGGTGGTGGTGGGGGGGTGTCTGTTCCTTTGGGATTTGCACCTCGTCGCATAGAAATGAGAAGACGGCGACAAAGTGAGATAACGGTTGCTCGAGGAGCAAATAAATGTCAATAAATCAGTCCAAAAAAAAAAATACATTCAACAATAATGATGTAATTAGTCCCCTCACTACGAACTGCGTTACACCGTATAAATATTTTTTAACGATTGTTACAGTCCACAAATATAAATTATTCTTATTCTGGAAAAGTTAATAAACACGTTTCTATAAATGTCATTATTAATAATCATCTTTATTACTATCGAGTAGTAAACATTTTAAACAGATGGCTCGTTATTTTTTAAATGAAGTAGTTCATAAACAATTATTTCTCTACAATGACACGATGTTTTGCAACATAATACGCTGCACAACTACCGCTATATAAAAATATATCGATTAAGGTAGTTTTTGAGTTTTTCAAAAAAAATATATGCATGAATGAATTGAAGTATGACACACGTGCACACGCACGTGCACACGCAGACAAAAACGGGAAACCATTCATAAAAGCGTGTTGTGCGCCATGCTGACCTTTTGCAGATGCCCCCGCCAGGCGGTAGGTTCGCTTCCCTGCTGGGCGCAATTCACGAGACTGCCGAGTGGGTGCGTGACTCACCTCGTGCTCGCTCTCCACCTCTCCTGTTCGTCTTCAGGTGCACGCGCGCGCCTACACTTGCCCCCCAATTACCACCCAAACGGAATACAAACCCGACCGCTTGGAGGTAAAGTGATCTTCAGACCTGTTGCTCACGACCTTCAGTACCACGGACAGCGACCTGGGCCTGGCGCCATCACAGCGGGATCCATCTCCGAGCAAAAGTCAGATGGACAAAAAAAAAATAAAAATATTGGGACAGATCCTAATCAGTCAAACGAGGAGGGGGGGGGGGTTGACTGGTGGCAGCGCACAAAGCTAAGGAGACATGTTAGGATGACTTTGGTGTGGAAGAACGCCATTCATTTGACTAGTTGATTGGATTTGATGTATCTTGCATTTGGGAATGCATTCACATATGCAAACATACATACACACGGTTTTGCCTGTCAGTCAATTTCTAGTTTGAAAGACGGAGTCTTATTTTGAAATTCATGCTTTTATTTTAACACTCCACAAGCACATGCACATACCTCAGAGGAACAAAAAAAAAAGGCTTGATCTCCTACAGCGCCAACGTTTCTATATGTACTGTGTTAGTACATACCGTTAAGTCATGTTATGCGCTGGTTTTTTTAATTTTTATTTTCCCAAATGCGCTGTTAAAAACGAGTTTGTGAAGTTACTTGGGTCATGTTTTTAATGTTCTAGATGCACAAGCTAATTTAGTGTACGCTAATACAGTAGTTGGAAATGGTTTGCCATTTTTAACACATATGGACACATACAGAGAAAAACGCACTTCCACTCAATAACATACACAAACATGCATACACACGCACACAACTCATAATACGACCGCGCATTTCTAATCATTCATCTCATCAAGATCCTTTAGATGCAATTCTATGCGACTAACAGTTTGAGGAGATCCCCCTTTCTGTTCCCATTGCACAAAGCGAGGTCCATACAGTTTTCCTCAAACAGTGACGGCATGAAAAGTCCTAAACAGGAAACAGAAAGGCACCTCTCGTACACCTTTCAGACTGCATCGACCATTAAAAAAAAAGAGTTGATTGAAAAGAGGGAGCCGAGAAAGAGAAACATTGTTATGATTGGATGACGCTTGTGACGCAAGCGCCCTTTCATTTACAGGAAGGCTTTACAAGACTTGCCTCAAGGACATGGATGCAAATGGAAGGGATGGCCAGCCAGTCACTCAGTCAGTCGGTAATGGTAGGTCTGTTTAGGCTGGTAATAGCAGCATCGGCCTTGTTGCCATGGAGAAAGTGCCAGCAGCGTCCGCCTGTGGCGTCCTCTAATACTACTTTGACGACATCATCTTGCACTGCGTTTCACTGCTTGATGGCATTAATGCTGCGTATCAGACAGACAGGCACAAAGAGAGTTGGGCAGGGGGACGGCGAGACAAGCAGACAAAAAGACAGTCAGGCCCAAATGGACAGACGTACTGTAGAAGCAGGCTGAACGACAATAAGAAAGAGTGACAGACAAGCAGACAAACAAGCGGGCGGTCAGTTCGACAGGCAGACAGACAGTCAGAGAAGCAGGCACAGTGGGAGACAAGCGAGCGGAAAGGTAGACAGGCTGATAAGCAAATAGTGACAGACAGACAGATGGACAGAAGGAGAAGCAGACTGGTATACAAGAGACAGAGAGACAGAGACGAGTGGACAGAAAGGCAGGTAGAAAGACAGAAAGACGGAAGGAAGTAGATAGATAGGCGGACAGGTGGACAGTGTGACGGACAGACAAGTTGACGAGCAAATACAGAGACTGACCCAGAGACAGACAACCAGGCAGAGAAAAGAAAGACAGACAGGCAAAAAAACAGAGTGATAAGTTGACAGAGACGGGGAGACAGACAGATGGAAACAGGCAGGCAACCGACAGAGGCAAAAGGAGCGACAGGCAGTCTGACCAAGAGACAGGCAGAGAGGCAGGAAGGCAGACAGAAAGCGTCCATGAGAAAGGGAATAAGCACCGCGCTTCCCTGCTGGGTGCAAATTGCACCGAGTCCACGAGTGTGAGTCACTCGTTATTTTTTGGGTCGTTTTAAGTTCCGCACCGAGTGTTACTGTTGACGTTCAACACCCTCGCAAAAGCTGCTTTGTTATTTTTACTGACTCCATTTTTTTTTCTGTACTATTTGGACTTAACTCTCAAATGATGTTTTTATTTAACGGCAATGATACATTTGTTGTCTAAAATTATTATTTTTAACGAAACGTGACCACTTACGTTGATGTCAGGATTAGTTTTTTTCTGTTAAAATTTAAACTTTTTGTGTTAATATTTCAATTTTTGTCTGTCATGATCCTGCCTTGTTTGCTTTGCTGTCTCAGTGTCCAGCTGGAGAGTGGGCGTTCCCTTAGGAGTCACACCTGGTCTCGTTACCTGTCTGCTTTAAAAACCAAGCCACGCAGACAACTGGCTGTCCGATTATTAGTCTTGCTCACGACTGTCTCCAAGTGCTTAATTTTCGAGACGTTCTTGACGTTTTTGCCTCATGTCCATTAAGTTGACAAGCAATTTTTGTATATCTCATTCCTTGCCATTTGCGCGCACCTTTTGATTTATTCTCGGTTTTTCCTGGTTCCTTGTTACCTACCAGCTTTTTATTGTACTTTGTCGGTCTTGCGTTTTTGTTAATAAATATTTTTGTGATCAAAACATCTTATCTGTGTCTATGCTTTTGGAATCCTCATTCTGTCCGTACTTTGTCCGGACACTTGACATTGTCATTCTTTTCCTCTCAAAACTATTGTAAAAATAGCGTCTGGGTTCAAATATGCGTTCCTTAAAGGGGACATTGCGACACCGATGCTATTCATTAGCTCATCATTGCACTCAAATTTTTGCTCGCAACTCAAGAGAAAAATACCGTACATATCAGACTGGATTATAATTTCTTTCTTATCAAATAAAATCTTACTGTAACAAATTTCTGGTTTGTAGGCTACTATTTTATGAAAATGGACAACCTGACCCTCTTCCTAATCCGATTTTGCCCCTGCTGGGTTGATTTTGTCAGCAGTCAGATTATTTTCTGCACATAGGTGCAGTATTGATAGAATGTGACGTGTGCTTCAGTGCATCTCCACTCAATGAGGCTCTCCACAGGTCCATTCAGCCCCCACCTCCAGGCCGTCTCCATCCCAACCACTGTATCTCTTCATGGACACAACGCGAGAGGGAGGCACCCCGTGGTCCCGCGCTAACAAGTCGCCCACCCGCAACGACTCGAAGCGGAATTGGCGGCGGGGGGTGTGGGGACCCCTACGAGGGACCGGTTCCCTCTTCAACCTGCACTTGTCTTCCAATGAGAAATGTCGAGAGGAAGAACGACTATTTGTGTGTGTGTGTGTGTGTGTGTGTGTGTGTGTGTGTGTGTGTGTGTGTGTGTGTATATATATTGAGGGAAAAAGGCGTACCGGTAATCTTTGGACAATTATAGTCAGTGGTTATGGGTTAAAAAGTCACAAAATTCAGAGAAAACAATCATTTTTGTCCCCCCAATTTTTAAATTTTGTATTTTTTTTAAATATAAGAATTCAGTATTTTTTTTCAAGTGGGAATATCACGAGAATAAAGTCATATTGTGGGTAGAAAAGAAAAGTTGAGACATTTTTGGGGCGGGGACAGCACTTACTAATTAAACAATTATTACTTTTTTAATCTAAAAAAAAAAAAACTTTCTGGGGCCTATTTTCATAGTCAGATGCACGTAAGATCAACGTAAAAAACTGGTGCATCTTCATTTTGTGCCATGGCAACTGTAGTTTACTGGATTTGAGAATTTTCCAGACCGCGTTATGCCTTGCTGGGTGTTCCAGCAGATCGAAGTAATTTTCAATAGCTCGGCGCAGCTGATAATATGGTGACAGAAAGTAGACTTGACTTTAAACCGGCTAAAAGCAGGTCTAAGTTGTGGCACGGGTGGAGTAGCTCAAGTTTGGTGGCCATATTCTGTGCTCTGCAGATAGTTGTGGTGATGTCATCGTATTTCATTCATATGTATGACATCATTGTGCATCAAGCCCCCTGAATCATTGTAGAGAACAATTCATTGAATGCATTACTTTTCTCTCATATATGTTTAAATATTGACTGAGGTACAACTGGTGTGTGTGTGTGTGTGTGTGTGTGTGTGTGTGTGTGTGTGTGTGTGTGTGTGTGTGTGTGGGCGTGGGTGGGAGCAGGGAGGGGGGTGGGGGGTTGTCATAACCAGATGCACATTTGGGGGTGGAGGGTGGTCTCCAGGTGCTCACTTCGCAGCTGCCAACATCATCTGCAAGAGCTTGTTGCAGTTCATGCCAATCTCTTGCAGCACCTAGGGACAATTTAGAGTGTTCCATTACGCCCACATGCATGTTTTTGGGATGCGGGAGGAAACCAGAGTACCAGGAGAAAAGCCACCCAGGCACGGGTAGAACATGCAAACTCCACACAGGAAGGTCGGAGTTGGAATCGAAGCCTGCGCCTCTGCACCGTGAGACGGACGAGCTAACCGGTTGACCACGTGTCGCCCTTTTACAGAATATTTGGGCAGTTAATTTAAAAAAAGAAAAAAAAAACCATCATGCCGTTTACTGCGCATCATAGTAACATACATGGCAATGGCGAGTGATGAAAAAAGCGGAAGGGGCGTGGCCTGGTCGGGGGCGTGGCCTGGACGGGGCGTGGTTACTTACAAAAGTGGCACTCAACATACTGAAGATGAAGTGTATTCAATTTACACACTATTTGAAACTTTAACAGAAAAAAAATCCCAAGATTGTTCACTATTCTTTCAAGTGAAAATTTGTGCAATTTTGCTTATGCATTCCTAGTGAGCACCAATATGTAACTCCAAATTTGCTGCTCAAAATCAAAACTAAAAAAGTAAACACATTCCCTGCCATATTTAAGATTTGTTCATGACTTGTATTCATAAAGTGTTGTGTAAATGTGATAAAAAGCTGTTGATTCTTATCTTATACAGTGAT